AATCCTCCGTGTTTGAACCTCTTAAATCGCTGCACAGCCGATTTATTTGGACTGGATTATCCCAGAGAGTCTAAAGATTCTTTATAACACAGTTTGAGATTTGTGAAACCTTAATTCTATTTGTGAACATTTTAAAAAGGGAGATTTCAGTGCTTTTTTCGCATCTAGACCACATAAAACCAGGCAGGGCCGGCCCTAGACATTTTGGTGCCCTAGGCGAGATTATGATTTGGTCCCCCCCCCCTGCAAGCAATACACAATAGAATATATAAAGAATAAATGAAAAATCTCTACAAAAGACCAATACACTACAAAAACTGAAACGTATTGACATATTGGTTATATACATCAAAAAGGTTTAAAATGTATTCATTATTGTATGAACATGTTTTAATTGGCGGGTGGACGTCACATCCTCTAGGGGGGTCCGGGGGTATGCCCCCCCCCCCGGAAAGATTTGTTTTAACATTTTAAAGTAAAATGCTTCAATCTGGTGCACTTTGAGCAGAATTACTAGACTAGATCTAGGGGGTACAACTCTAAACACCCATTTGAAAAAGAGCGGTTTACATTTTAATAATCAAATAAGTATGTGAACATAACCAATAACCCATAGCCAATAACAAATAAATGTAACTTATTTTATTTTTTGTTGTTCATTCATATCTTATTTTACCTACACTGTAAACATTTTTTTTTTTTTACAGTTTTTCCCCCAAAAAAATTACAGTTTTTTATTGTATTTCATAATTACAGAAAATCATATTCAATTCACAAGAATAAACGGTTTATTGAAATGTGTCATGTATTTTAACAAAAAAAAACTGTAGAAATGGAATACATTATTTATCTGTTTTTTAGCAGTTTTTTAGCAGTTTTTAAATGCGAATTTAACAAAACTAACCGTAAAAATAAATGATTTTCTGTTGGCAAAATTAGCTGCATTTTCTGTAATTTTACTAAAAAATACTTTTGTTATGGCTATATATAACTGTCAAATACATAACAAATACTGTTAATACTCATTTAAAAAATGTATAATTGCAAGAAAATATATGAGTAAAGAAAGAAATATTTAGTAATTTTGCTTAATTTAACCACTACTTTACATTGATAAACTGAAAAAACACAGGTATTGACTATCCTATTATAGTAAAAAAAAACTACATTAACACATTTTGACTTTCACTTTATTGCTACATTTGTATTAATTTGAAGATTTAATTGTTAAATATGTGAATTTCATGTTATAAAAACTGTGTAAAACCATAGAGTTAAAAAAAAATTTGACTGTTAGCATGTTGGGTGCGAATTCCTACCAGAGCACAATTCAGATATAAAATGATACTATAACCCACCAGTAACAGCCTGTGGGTTATATAGGAGACATTTGGCTATGCCATGATACATCTATAAACTAGCTCATAGCTGTCAGCATTCACTGCAGGCAAACCTAATGTGACCATTCACTTATGATTTCTAAGTAGAAGAAGAAGAAGAAGAAGATATCATGTATTCATCACTCAGAGGGAAATGTCTTCCCCCACTCTGTTGTGTTTAAACACATTACACACACAGGGAGGATATACTGTACATGCACAAACACACAGAGCATATACATGCACAAACACAACCACATGCGGATAGGAGAGGGGATCGCAGAGAGGCTGCCAGATAGCCGGCGCCAGGGAGCAGTTTTGGTGTTCGGTGCGTTCACAGCCCAAGTAACATTGACCTGCTGATCTCTTTCCACACAAAAAAAAGTTGTGCCAATTTCTGACATCATTTAGCTTTTCAGATGATCAGAGACGCGAAGCTACCGCAAAGTCACTTGTGCAGCTAACGGTGATTGGCAGACAGTATGCAAAAAACATATTGAGTTTCACTGTAAGCGAAAAATGAAAGGATCTAGAAGTTAAATAACATTAGCATCTTCCCCTAGGCCTTATCACACTAGCATAAGCCCATAACATTGAACATGCTAGCAAGCACTTACAGCCAGCCTACTCTGAATATCAAAACCTTGTTAGCAGTTAGTGCTACCACTATGCTAAATTTGTATTAGCATTGCGATTACAGTAAAGCAACTCTACTAACAAACAACCAACTGTTGTGCGTTCACAACCCAAGTAACATTGACCTGCTGATCTGTTTCAACACAAGAAAAAGCTGTGTACATTTCTGACATCATTTAGCTTTTCAGATCATCAGAGACGTGAAGCTACCGCAAAGTGCCTTGTGCAGCTAACACAGAGTGCATTCTCGTAGCGATTGCTACAACTGCACCATGTTTGTTAGGAAAGTAGCTTTTAGAAATGTATCAATGTTCTAAAATGTGTGACTCAATATTTATGCACAGTATGCAAAAAACATATTGAGTTTCACTCTAAGTAAAAAATGAAAGGATCTAGAAGTTAAATAACATTAGCATCTTCCCCTATAGGCCTTATCACACTAGCATGTACAATTTAGCCCATAACATTGAACATGCACTAACAGCCAGACTCTGAATATCAAAACCGTGTTAGCAGTTAGTGCTACCACTATGCTAAATTGGTATTAGCATTGCAATTACAGTAAAACGAACAATGTTGTCCTTTTAGACGTCTAATAATATCCAACTATTCAATGCATCACATTGAAAGAATAGGCCTTCACCAAAGCATGTTGACAAAGCTAGTAGCTACAGCGAAATACATTTACAATCCAAGTCAATTAACTTAAATATGTATTGTGATAATGTCCCACACAGCTAGTTGGTTACAACAATCTACAGTGATGTCACAGGGATTTCAGGCAGCAGGTAGTTGAAGGTTAAGTACATAAATTCACTTGTTAATCCATTTGCTATGGCTACAACTGCCTCGTGGAACAACAAAGATTTATTTTCTGTTTGTTTAATATAGGAATGCATCTTTGTCTATCACACTTTGCTTCTGTAGATCTCCCATCTGACTTTATTGTGAGCTTGTGTTTTCAAAAAGTAAATTGAGCATGTTTTATGAGACTGAACAGTCTCATGGGGTATTGGACTCTCTTAAAACCCAGGTAGGTGCAGAATAGGTTTCTCAAAAATAAAGCAAACAGGAAGGCAGTACTATGCATGACTAAAAATGATATGTACACGTTGATTAATACCTACTTAACTTGTACTTGGGACAGGACTGCAAAGTACAGATGGGATATTCCTGATCATAATCAAACTTATATAAATGTGCACCAACATTAGTTATCAGTGTTCTCTATTCTCAATTTAAAAGAATAAACTGACAATAAAGAAGTCTTATAACATATTTTGCTTGTGTCTTTGGAAGGCCTTCAGTGTTTGTTTTATTATTTATCAACTAGTTACATTGTCATTTTGTAAATTAAGAAAATAAAATCCAAAGAATTAAACAATTATAATTGCAATGTAAATAGTTTGCACCCCATTTTTTTACTTTTAAATTAATCTTTATGGTGTGGCGTTACCAATTCTTAAAATAATACAAGGATTGGATGTTCATCAAAGGATTTTCAGGGCAATCGATTTGCAGCCAATCAGAGACGAGACTTCTGCTGCACTTACCCATCATGCTTTGAGGCACTGATACTACAGAGACCACTCAGTTAGCACGCAGGAGGTGAAGAGCACTGCACGTGGCTCGCCCAGAGGAGAGGAATAAGCACTTTCAGAGGTAACGGTAAAAACTATTTATCAACGGATTCAAAACACTCAAGACTTAAAACATTGCACACGTCAAAGTCCTAGCTATGGTATATATTTTGTTTAACGACCGAAAACAAAGTAATGTTAGCTAACCGGTAGCAGCTAGCTACCATGCTTTGAAATTGAGCTGTTCTATGCCGTCATTATGCAGGGTGTTACTTTTTTATTTTGTAATGGTGCTCGAGTGGCTGAGCTGATGTGCAGTGAATGTTTCAGAGTTACTTTTTCGCAATATTATTTAATAAATAGTTTAGCTAGCTCACTAGCATACATTGTCACTAACTCCTAATGTTAGCTCAATCCTTAGTTTTATAATCGATTTTTTTTGTGGGCATAATGTTACACACAATGCACATTATCCATATCTTTTAAATCCTATGTTAAGGCTATAATCAGAGGTGGGAGAAGTTCTCTGATCTTGTACTTGAATAAGAGTAGAAGTACTCAGGTCTTATACTTGAAGTGGCAGAGTTCCCGTTAGAATATTTTTTTGCCGGTCAACATGTCCGTTAAAGTTGAAATCTTCCGGACAAAATGAGAAAAGTGCCGGTCAAAGGTCTTCTTATTTATTGAGCTTTTAAACAAATTGATATGATTTGATATTAAACAAACTAATTCTAGTAGATTAACTACATTATTCAAAAGTGTACAGTAATTTATAACACGGGAATAATAAACTGAGCGCTCTCTCTCCCTCTCCTGAGGGAGAGAGAGCGCTCAGTTGAGCAACCCAGTAAAACTAAACATATCTATAACTAGTTTAGGTAATTTGAGAGGTAATTAAAATAGCTACGTGATATTCTAACCTGAAGTGTGTGTTTTGTTCCGCTCACCGCTGCAGATGATCATGCAGAGCTGGGTGTCGACTCGTCAGCAGCAGCTGATCTCTTGCTCCGGTCAGATTAGACTTCACTCGCGTTTATGTCCATATCGATCAGATCTAGCTGGTTCTAGCTAATGATATGACTACCTGCTTATTAAAAGACACCTAAACAATAAGCGTCCCTATGCAACCGGGTGAGGCCGCAAAGTATAGCGCAGCATTATGCATTTGTTTACATGCCCACCGGAACCCCGAGACATTGCCAACAGATCAACGCACAATCAACCCATACAGGACACTCTTTCTCTACATTAAATGTTAGACATTAGAATTGACTATTCTTGTCTGTCACATACTCTTCTTGTCTGTCACATAAGTGGCGCAACTGATGCGGTATTGTGCTAAAGGGAAATTATTTTGACCGGAGAGATTTCGATTTGCCGGTCTTCAGCATATTTTACCGGTCATAACGGGAACTCTGAGTGGTATTACTGTACTTAAAGCTGCTGCTGTGTTATTTAAGTTATTTTTGCTTAAGCATGTGCAAACTTGTGTCTCTTTTTTTTCCCCTCAGCTGTTACTGTAGCTGCAGTACCAGTAATTGCAACCTACCAAGAATAAACAGCAGCCAGAGATCCTCAAGTAACATTTCTTGCCATATTACAAGTGTTATCAATTCTCAATGTCCTATATGGTATTGCTATGCAAACAGTGAAAGGATATGGAAATCATCAAGAGGTGGCTAAAATATGTTTTTTTGCTGACCCTGTCCAGAGCAGTACATTGCTTTGCTTCCAGGTGGTTGCTCGGGGCATCCCGGCCATCAGTGGCGGACTGGCCATCGGGACGTTCGGGGCGAATCCCGATGGGCCGGTCGGGCCACTCGGCCCACTTCGGTACCGGCAGGGGCGGACTGACCATCTGTAGAATCACCGAATGGCCGGGTCGGTTTGCTGTTTTTAAACGGCATCATTGAAGTTAAGCTGACAGGCGACAGAGGTCCACCGTTTCCCAGTCCGCCCCTGCCGGCCATCATCTACTCTAGGTAATACACCGACTATGGATAAGTACCTTTATAAAACCCCACTTTAAACACCCAAACTATCCCTTTATGATGTGACATGTTCTACACTGTTAACATTAGGAAACACTTAAGAAAGAAAAGAAAGCTGCAGGAGCTGATCATTCCTAAAATACAATTGGCCATGTGATCACCAGTAAAAAAAAACAAACAATCTGCACAAAATATTCTTTGGATTTATAAATGTTTTGTGACTTTTTCCTGTTGTGTACCTTAAGGGAGTTCTCCCCTGACAGCTGGACAGTACATGATAGCAGAGGACCATCGTCAGTGACAGTGTCCTGAATGTTGTTGACGCCCTGATGCTGATGTTTGCAGCATATTACTGCCTCAACATCAGTTATCGCTCAGAACTGGGAGCTACCCTGGAGTTCTTGCAGAGGTAAGACTTGAATTGTAATTATGAAGTAATTCCATCTTAAACCACAGAGTAGAGGATTGTGCACATTTCTGACACACGATAAGTGCTCCTGACAATACAAGATAATCGAGATAAAAAGATTATTGTGCTGCATTCTGTTTCGCATTATGCTCTCGTTTTGTCTTGGGTTGTAAATTCAGCGTACCCCTTTCCTTTGCAGTGGTGTGCTTTGGCTCCTCCCTAAAAGCCCAAACTCACTCTTAGCCAATCGGTGGTATGTTTACTTCAGCTCAATGAAAATGACGGAAAGAGGGCCCTTTGTGGACAACAAAAGAAAACCTGGTATTAATGCAGTGAACAAACACATTAAAACTTCTTTCGGTTAACTACGATGCTTTTACACCGCTCACTCTGCTACTGACACGCACCTCATCTGCCCCAGATACACACTAACCTCTCAAGATGGGACTCGTAGCTACCCACATTCAAATGATCTTCAAGTGACCGCTTGCTCCTGTTTACAGACCTGCTGCGATACTGTCCAGTGTGATAGTGATGCCAAGTGACGACTTTATATAACAAAACTATTCAAACCAATGCTTTTAAATGCACAGATATGATGATAACAGTTAATGAAAAGTACATTTAAGAGTAGCATTGCCCTTTGACTTCAAGCTGTATAACTGTAAAGACAATTAATGGCTGTATCATCGTCTTAACAGGTGCCTATTCAAGATCAATCCGGACAATGGGACTAGAGTGGAGAGGAAGGAATACAAACACAAACAGCACTCGATAAAGATAAAGGTGCATTCATTAATTACAAACGTTGCTGACTTTGAATGGAGAGTTGAAACACACACAGTCATGTACACACGCACGCACATAACTGGTAGATTTCTTTAGTGTTTATAATCGTTATCTTTTGAACAAAATGTTGGCTATTGTTAAATGTTTCATTGCCGGTCTATTCTGCTTTATTATTACTTAAAATATATTTTATTTATTGTTTTTATTTTTGTGATGTATATTATTTTCAATAATATATTGTGTATATATATATATTTGTGATTTTTTTTCTACAAAACATCGGACAGTTAATGTAAACTTGGGCTTTTGCAAAGTAAAATGACATGTTTACTTTGTGTTTTACATGTAAATGGTCTTAGATTTCATGAAGTTTGCTGACGACACGACCGTCATCGGCCTGATCACCGACGGCGACGAGACTGCGTACAGAGAGGTCGAAAACCTGACATCTTGGTGCCAGGATAACAACCTCCATCTCAACGTCAGCAAAACAAAGGAGCTGATTGTGGACTACATGAAGCAGCAGGGAGAGGGACACGCCCCCATCGCCATCAATGGGACTATGGTGGAGAGAGTCAGCAGCTACAGGTTCCTCGGGGTCCTCATCACTGAGGACCTGACTCATCACTGAGGACCTGACATGGACTCATCACTGAGGACCTGACATGGACTCATCACACTAACACCAGCACCAAAACAGCGGCTCTTTAAAAACAAAATTGTATTAGTCAATTTATTGAACATGTTAGAAACAAAACAAACAATAATATTTATCGTATTTTAGCTTAAAAACGTTTCTGGTCAGGTCCTACTCGGAACCATTCAGGATTTGGTTTCTAAATAAGAGTTTTAGTTTAGATAAAGTTGCACAGTATTTCAGCTCATCATTACAGTTATTCCACAGATGAAGACCTTCTGTTGTGATGCAATGAAGTTTGGAATTTGTTCGAATGGGTGGTTTTAAAAAAAATGCAGTTTCCTCTCAACATGTGTATGTTTTCTCTCCGTGTGAAAAGTCCCTGGACATTATGATGTAATTGTTCTGCAGGCTGAGGAAGTTCAACATGGACTCCAGGATACTCTGCATCTTCTACAGGTGCACCATAGAGAGTATCCTGACTGGCTGCATCACGGCCTGGTACGGCAGTGCAATCATATTCCGTTTACTTGCATATAGACTCTTCTTGCACTATTTCTATTCTATTTGTTCTATGTTCTATATATATGTTGCACTGTTGGAGGAGCCTGTGACTTCAGTTGTTCATTGCCATGTCTACACTGAAACTAATGTACAAATGACAATAAAGCCTTGAATCTTGAATTTACGGTATTTTTTCAAATGACGACTAATCTTCTTTCTTTCAGCTTCTTTTGATCATTTAAAAAGATATTTATTCAGTTTTTCTAGAGGTGTATAACTATATTCTAACAATTAATATATGTTAAAAGAAAAAGATTTCCTGTGAAATTACAGATGTTTTTTGGCAACTAAGGCTTTTGCAAAGTAAAATGACATTCTTTTCTTTGTGTTTTAATGGTAAATGGTCTTAGATACACGGTACTTTTTTGTAATAATAAAAGTAATTTAATGTATTTTAGCTTTTTTTTTATCATTTTTTAAAGATAATTCCGTTTTCTAGAGGTTTATGACTCTATTCTAACAAATAATATATGTTAAAATAAAAATATTTCATGTAAAATTACAGTAATAGAGGCTACTTGTGGTAAGGTAAGTAACTTTTTTTTTACATGTTATCTCCGTATTTTATTTTACAGTTTTTTTTTCCTTTTTTTAACGGACATTTCTGGCGCCCCCGTCGCCAGAAAATTTCCGTTTTTTTACAATTTTTTTTTTTTACAGTGGTCACAAAAACCAAACATTTTTTAGATTTGTAGGGTTTTAGATTAGGACCTGGTCCAATGTGGTCTAGATAAAAAGCACTAAAATCTCCCTTTTTTATATTTTCACAAATAGAATTAAGGTTTCACAAATCTAAAACTGTGTTATAAAGAATGTTTAGCCTCTCTGGGATAACAGGGTTCCCGCGGGGTCTTAAAAAGTCTTAAAAAGTCTTAAATTTGATAATCTGAATTTAAGGCCTTAAAAAGGTCTTAAATATGACCAAAAAAATAAGAAAGGTCTTAAATATGATTTAGAAGGTCTTAAAAATGATCGGATTTGAAAGGTACTTCTGTGTTGAGATCGCGTCTAAATGTGTTTTGGGGGAAATGTCCGGGCTGCAAAGTAACCAGTACGGTAAGAGCCTTTCAGTTCCCCCCAACAATTTGTATTGAAATAAATCAACATGGAACCAGTAATCACTAACTTTGTTTCCCCCGGCCCCTTATTGGAGAACACCCAGCTAGTAACCTAGCAAGCTTCAGCTAGCGGCAGTCAGAAACTCATGTATCTTAGAATCTACTTAAAAATAAATATGGGGAAGTGTAAGTTCAACCGTATTTTAGCGTTAGCTAGTGCAGCAGCTCCTGCAACAACACCGGCGGACCTCTGGGCGACGTTTGGGTGTATGTCACCCTAAAAGCGGAGGTGCCGTAGACGCTAAATACCGTAGGCTAAACACCAATCATACAACAGCAACGATGAAAGATTGTAGCCAAGGCAGCAGAGCTCTGAATATAGCTCTTGTCTCTCTACGGTTATGAGCCTGCTATAGCTATATCTATCCTCTCGTCCGTCTCTCTATATAGTATCTCTCTCTCTCTCTCTTCTCTTCTTCTATCTTTCTCTCTCTCTCTCTCTCTCTCTCTCTCTCTCTCTCTCTCTCTCACACACACACACACCACACACCACACACACTAGGGTGCTCGAATATGGCAAAATTCATAATCACGATTATTTTGGTCAATAATTGATATCAAGATTATTAAATACGATTATTCATTGACTTTGAAAACATCCATTTATTGAACTTTAAAACAAATAATAATTTGAACAGTATCTTTTTAACTGTTGATTACCCTGAACGTATAATTCAACTGCAAAACCAATACAAAAATAAATTAAATAAATTATACATTTAAATAAATAATATCAAAATAATAAATACCAATAAACAAGATCAACAAATATTTTGGAGCGCACTTCCACAAGCTACTAAACATATATAAATATGATAAATACAAATAAATTAGACTAAAATTAATTAGATCAAATATGTTGTAGTGTACTGTCACAACCGAGCAAAGCTCAATAATTTCGTAATTGTGGCAGGCCAAAATCGTAATTGCGATTTAAAATACGATTAATTGCACACCCCTAACACACACACACAAGCACACACAGACACATACACTTTTTGTCTAACACGCTAACACAGTTCTGTTATGCCTTTACATTTACTTTGTAAGTAATTATGGGACGTATTTCTTCTTTCATAGCAATTTTCCTTCATACTTTCTTGCCGTGAAATAGGTCTTAAATTCTATTCAAAGTGGTCTTAAAAAGGTCTTAAAAAGTCTTAAATTTGAGTAGGTGAAACCTGCAGGAACCCTGGATAATCCAGTCCAAATAAATCGGCTATGCAGCGATTTAAGAGGTTCAAACACGGAGGATTGTTCGCTCAGCGCTGTAAATTAAATGTCCCTTAACTTTCCCCTTAACTGCCAAATCGGAAGCTCTGAATCGGAAGCCAACCGAAGAGGGTTATTCCATCTTTCTATCCATCAATAATGTCACTCTGTTATCACAATGCTATTCTAATCCAAGCACCTTTCAAATTGCAGTTTAATAAAATGTTTTAAAGAGGATCTATATTCCTGTCTGCAGTCCTAAGGCAACTTTCTAATTTTAACAAAGTCTTCAATGTTCTTACCTAATTTGATAAACAGTCATATCATCATAATTACAACAATACTTTTGTTTTATATTTTTGTAAATATGGTCATATGACTGTATTTTAAAACACAGTGTATTTAAGCTCTTAAAGAAACTATTTGGGCTGGGTGGCGCTCTATAGCTTAGGGCCAATAGGAGACCTCGATGCCTTCTTTCCCCTCCTCCTCATTAGCATTCTGTGCGACTAGTGTGACTAGTGCACATTTGGGATCCACTAGTCCTACTAGTGAACATTTTGAGCCTCACTAGTTCACTAGTGGAATTTAAATGTATCTCACTAGTTAACTAGTAAAGGGCAAAGGGTTCACTAGTTAACGTGTAGACATTTTGAGCCCCACTAGTTAACTAGTAAGGTCAAAAGAGGCGTCAACTAGTTAACTAGTCAACTTTTTGCCTTTACTAGTTAACTAGTGAGCGATTCTGGGTGCCACTAGTTAACTAGTGCAGACAAATGTATGCCACTAGTTAACTAGTTGTGCTTCTTTTGTGTAACTAGTTAACATGTCAGAGCTTTTGCAGCGCACTAGTTAACTTGTAAGACTTTTAGTGTCACTTATGGCAAGCCATTTGAGTATTTATTCCATATCCTTGATGTTAGACGGCAGCTGCCTGCACTAGTTGGCTCTTTGATTTCACTTGTTAGACATATGGTCAAACTAGTTAGGCACTCTGCTTTACTAGTTAAATAAAACATTACACTAGTCACTCTTTTTTCAGCAACTAGTGGCACTTTTGTCCGACTAGTTAGCACATAAGCCTTACTAGTGACGCCAGGAGCAGCACTAGTAGAGCCAAAGTCCCAACTTGTAAGCTTTTTGATGAACTAGTGACCCTCTGACCGTACTAGTGACTATGGCAAGCCATTTGAGTATTTATTCCATATCCTTGATGTCAGACGGCAGCTGCCTGCACTAGTTGGCTCTTTGATTTCACTTGTTAGACATATGGTCAAACTAGTTTGGCACTTTGCTTTACTAGTCAATTAAAACATTACACTAGTCACTCTTTTTCAGCAACTAGTGGCACTTTTGTCCGACTAGTTAGCAGATAAGCCTTACTAGTGACGCCAGGAGCAGCACTAGTAGCGCCAAAGTCCCAACGTGTAAGCTTTTTGATGAACTAGTGGCTCTCTGACCGTACTAGTGACGCTAAAAGTCTTACAAGTTAACTAGTGGGCTGCAAAAGCTCTGACATGTTAACTAGTTACACAAAAGAAGCACAACTAGTTAACTAGTGGCATACATTTGTCTGCACTAGTTAACTAGTGGCACCCAGAATCGCTCACTAGTTAACTAGTAAAGGCAAAAGGTTCACTAGTTAACTAGTTGACGCCTCTTTTGACCTTACTAGTTAACTAGTGGGGCTCAAAATGTCTACACGTTAACTAGTGAACCCTTTGCCCTTTACTAGTTAACTAGTGAGATACATTTAAATTCCACTAGTGAACTAGTGAGGCTCAAAATGTTCACTAGTAGTACTAGTGGATCCCAAATGTGCACTAGTCGCACTAGTCGCACAGAATGCTAATGAGGAGGAGGG